CTAGCCTAAAAACACATACAAATTAAAACTTAAAAACAAACCAATCTCGCTCAGTACAAAGTCCAAAGCCACTGAAACGAACAACGAAAATACATACATAAAAAAAAAAACACCAAAAGGCAACCAAGTAACTAAAAAAAAAGAAAAAAAAAAGGGTGGAGAGAAAATTTATGCGCCTCAACTCCATTGAAGGGCATCCGCGGATGTCTTCAGAGGATCCGACACTTCTTGGCGGCGTCTTTTGAGGGATGGAGTAACGTGCACCATCACCAACGCCTTTCAATGTGGGTCAAAGTCACATTAGCCCTCCCCTACCTACCTACCTACCTACCAGTTGGCTTGGTCTGATATTACTCACTGCCCTCCCCCTACCTACCTACCTACCAGTTGGCTTGGTCTGATATTACTCACTGCCCTCCCCTACCTACCCACCTACCTACCAGTTGGCTTGGTCTGATATTACTCACTGCCCTCCCCTACCTACCCACCTACCTACCAGTTGGCTTGGTCTGATATTACTCACTGCCCTCCCCTACCTACCCACCTACATACCTTCATTCCTCATGAATAAAATAAAGAAACTATTGAAAAATACATTTTCTCATCTTTCAGGTGAGCCAGTAATACATTCCCGTGGCCCTCTGTATATTACACTTCACATTAACACATAAAAAGACTAGTAACATACATCTGGCATGCAATTTTAAACCCCATACTGACAAAAAAACATTTTTTTATTTGGTCATCATAAGCCAGAAAGACCTTGAAATATTTAAACCTTATGACATGGTCTTGCAAGGGTTGTCGGCTTACATCAGAGACGTCTCAGCCAACGCTCCTCTCATCCTTGGACATGACAAGCATATAATTTACACTACACCTTGCACAAACTACACCAAGAATCAAATTTATTTGATCAATTTCTTGTGCCAATCGCCTCTTTAATGTCTTAAATCGACCTTAAGTCAATGGATGTTCATTGCTCACAGCCTTCAGTTAAACAGGAAAAAAGAAATCAGTTGAAAAGTTTCACACGAATAAAAAATAATTAAGAATTTCTACAATCTCAAGCTAACTAACTAACCCACACTGGCTTAACCCACTACTAAAACTATTTATCACCCAAGACATGCATGAAAAAAAACTCTTTGCTAAACTTTAAAGCACTTCAAAGCAAAGGAAAGAACAGGTGTCAAATGACTTACCATTAATGTGCTTGTATCCGTTGAAGAACTTGGTCCTACACCATTTAACAAAGGAGTTGGCCATGGCTTGGGGGGTTTAATCTTGAGCTTAGAGAATCATAATATGATTCAGCGGCCCTCCACCATCCCCATCTTGGGATGAAGCAGTGTGAAGCAGCGTGAAGCTCTCCAAACTAAGCTTCGCCGACCCGTAGACTTTGTTTTAACTTCCTCCTCCCCGCGCAGGTGTAAATCTCTAAATCCGGAATTGCGTGAAGCTGTAAGAATATCTTGAGAAGGAGGAAGAATTCTTGGCGAGTTGAGGTGTCAGCCGAGGCAAGAACCGTTCACACATAGCTGTCACCCACGTGGATATTCCTGATCAAACTTTATTAAGTTCCAATTACCTCATGAACTCATTTCCACACTCACACCAGTTACGTACAACTTTATAACAACAACAAAAGCAGCAAGCAATCCAAAGCTAAACTTTTTCTTCCTTAAAAAAAGTTTCTAACTTTCATCACATTTAAGCCTTTCAAGACGGCAGTAAATCCTTAGTTTGGGGTTTTCTTGAGAAGGTATAAAACACCTTCTCCCCCCAGTTTGAAGAAGATTGTGGTGGTAGTTGAGTTGTTCTTAAAGATTCGCTATCTGGAACAAAAAAGTTTTCAAGTAGCACGGGCTATGGTGAGCCCGTAGTTCTTTCTTCTCTCTAGGTTGAGTTAGTTAGAGAGGGCGAGCTGGGGGAGAGAGAGAGAGAAGTAGTAGTGTGTCGGCAATACACACAAGATAGCTTATCTTGACTGGCATACACACTCCCTTTGATCCATGCCGCCCCGAGATAGCCGAAAGATAACGTGTTCTTCACAGACTTTTCTTGCGCTACCCACACAACTTTCGGTAAAATTTTTCAACCCCCAAAAACCACAAACAAAAGTTTTGATATTTTTTTTCCACTTAAAGATCTTACGATCTATTTAAACAAAATTGTTGCTTAAACAGAAGGAGGACTTATTAATCACATTATTGAAGGGAGGGAGGAGAGTAAAAAAGTAATAGTTGCACATTCCAGCACTGGACACAAGTGGTACACAGGTACACTTCAGGAGGAGTAGAGTAGTAGTGCAATGTTGCCCCTCCAAAGGTGTTTCACTCACTGGAGTTGCAAAGCCAGTGCCACAGGTTAAGAGCGGAGCCGCGCGCACACTCCCTCCGCCAGTCACCTCAACACTGAGCCGCTTCTCTCTCTCTCCATCTCTCTCTCTCAGTTGCCCGCTCCTAATTTACTCACCTCAATCCCCCTTTACTCAATCTTATCATCCCCCATCTTCCCTCACCTCACCATATACCGTGTCTTCGGTCAAGCTATTCACAGAGTGCGTTATTGCTTCTCTGGAGGTGATTTAGTAGTCGATACATAGATATATTTATGCATGCCAGGGCTCCTACTGAGGTTGCCGGGAGGCGCATTCCGAAACTGTCGTACCGCAACATTGCTCCTGAATGAATGGTTGTTCCATCGACTTTTTTTTTTTTAGGGTTGTATATCTTTTTCTTTTTTTTACAGTTCGCTTAATACTCATCTTATTAGTCTGTGTTTAGCCCCCACGGCGGTCCTCAGCTACGTGGAATTCCTCCGTGAAACCAGAAACCCATTTAGGATTTATCATATTAAACCCCCCAAAAAACAATGCCGTCAAACACTGAGGTTTACAGTTATATCTTAAGTCCAAACAACAAAAAGGCCTATTATAAACCACAAGAGCAAGAATAAGCTAAACGCTTAAAATATCCGGGGGGCCCCAGCGATGACTCACGCAGAGATCTGAGAGCCAAGGATTCCTTGCAACAAGCAAATGACCAAACGCTTCCCAGTCCTCTCTCAGCCTTTGGACTTGCCGACAAGACCAAACGCGGTTGCCGTCTCCACCTCACACATATATATATATTTTTAATACCATTTTTCTCTCATCTCTGTTAGGTTTTTTTTAAAAAGTTCCATGGAGCGTCGTGGCTGACTCTTCGGAAGTGCCTTGGTATAGGACCTGTGTGTGTGTAGTGTTAATGAAGTTAGAGCGAGAGAGAGAGGAGGAAGAGAGAGAGAATATAGAGAGCAATTAGGATATAGAGTCAGGTCTATGGCCAGAGGGGGGAAGAGGGGTTTATGGGATAGGGGGGGGGGAGTAGGGAAGTGGCGGTCTGATGGAAGTTTAGCGGATAGGGAGAGGGATGGGGGGAGGGGTAGAGAGGAGGGAAGGGCAGACCAACATGGATATGTGGGAAGGGGGAGTAAGAGAAGGAAGGGGGGGGGGGGTAAGGAAGGGAGAGGGAGAGGGGGGGAGGGGGTAGGTAAACCAACAGGTACCAGGATGTGAAAAGTCACAGGGGTATACGCAGAGGTACCAAAAGGTGCGAGTAAACCCAATGGGGAGGATACTCTGTAAACTCACAGATTCACTGGTGAAGATTCATATATATATAGATTTCCCAAACAAATGACGATGAAAAAATAAGGGAATAACAGCTGAATGACGTAATTACAAAGTATAATTAACGCAATAAACAGATTACTGTCACTAATTACAACAGTGAACAACAGGAAAGAGCTTCCCACCACTGATATGAATCAAGTCTTCAGTCAGTCTTCAGTCTCCAGTCTTCAGAGCACACTAGCCTAGCCTCCCAGCCATCAGGCGTCACATGGCTGATCATATGAGCAATTAACCAGGTAATTACCTAGCGGGAAAGACCATAGAACGCCGTAACAAGGTAAACTAGCGTCACACTCCCAAGGAAACTCGTCTGAATGACCTGCTTTGAGAATAGGTTAACTCTATGCCTTAAAACCTGTATAAATGTAAGTCATTCACATTTATATACAGATTCGGTGATTTATACACACTTATATATACACTGGTACACATATTCTGTCTGTCTCTCTGTCTCTGTCTCTGTCTCTCTCTCTCTCTTAAGGAGTTCATAGAATTCAGAACTTTTATGTAATAGATAACCCGACTGCCTATTTTCTCCATTTAACCTTTGAAACAAAAGCAAGGGTCAAGCCTAAACAAAAGCCTCAAAATTGGTCGCGTTTCTCAACTTTTGTTCCCTTGAAGTAATTCTTTACTTCAGATAAACACACACGGATTGTATTGTCAACTGAAAAGAGACTATTTCTGTCCTTGCTCTTGATTCTGATTAAATGAGAACAATTAAACACGAAATTAACTCTAGAATTAGATAGCCTAATTCTAATCATAATTGTATATGATTAGAATTAGGCTATCTGTCGGTATTTCTTGTAGAACCCCTGATGGGGACTGACGGCTGAGTGGCAAGCGCTCGGAATTCGTAGTCCTAAGGGGTCTGGGTTTGATCCCCGCCGCGGAAACAAATGGGCTGAGTTTCTTTCATCCTGATGCAGCTGTTCACTTAGCAGTAAATAGATACCTGGTAGTTAGACAGCTGCTACGGGCTGCTTCCTGGGTGTGTGGAAAAAATAATCGATTGATTGAGAGTTGAGAGGCGGGCCCAAAGAGACAAAGCTCAACCCCCTCGCAAGCACAACTAGGTGAGTACTAGTGGTAGAGTAGTAGAGAGTAGTAGACTGGTAGACAACAGAGTAATCTCTGTTGTTGACCAGACCACACACTAGAAATTGAAGGGACGACGACGTTTCGGTCCGTCCTGGACCATTCTCAAGTCGATTGTGTGAATGTCTCATCGCCTGCATAATCTCTGTTGTCGTTCAATGTTGTGAATCTAGCGATAGTAAGCTGTCTATTATCAACTATTGTCAAACTAGTAGTAGTAGCAGAGACTATCCCCCCCTCCCCCCGCCTTCCCCCTTCAAAAAAATACAATAGTTTAGTCAAACGAGACCGTTATAGCATGATTGGAGAATCAGTGACTATATAGTCGTTTTTTTATTATTCTTGGCGATTGGATCACTAGGATTATACACTAGGATTTCAATTGTGCTCTTAAATATAATTGTGGATTTTGAACAGAGCGACCATGGCATTCCCAAGGGGGAGTCCTCCCCCCGCCACTGGTGCAAGGAACTGCTTCTTTATTCCAAACTGTTGTTGTAAGAGGTCAAATCATCGTCAGTAATGCCTCTCTCTCTCTGTCAGATTTAGGCTTCAACAGTCAGACAAATTCGGATTCAGTGTCCAATCATCGCTGCTGTAACATCCGTCTCATCTAATTTCTTCAAATCCCATCAGAACTTTTCCCCACGACCTCTTTGAAAGCTGTACAAGTATATCGACGGAACGAGAGCGCTTAATCATCTTTTCTTCGCGAATTTCCAAGTCTTTCAGGAAAGAAACTGCGCAGTGCTTCTGATGGGCTACGACTTTTATGCTTCCGGGAGATACAAGTCATCAACTAAGCATCAATCAATGTTTGGCGATGAGTCTTGCAATTCATACGAGGCTTCTGGTGACTAGGCTGCGGATTACGAACTTTCTGTTTGATGTTCTGTTTCACGTACACAATTTTCTTTCGCAATGTCCTATTATATGTCAGATTTAGAACCTTCTGTATGATATCGAATCAGAACCTTGTACATGATGTATTCATTCGTGGGGTTCTGAACGTTTCTAAAACAGTTCCCTTAATTGTACGTAAGATAATATCACAAATTTAATATAATAAGATAATATCAATAATAGTAGTAATAAGTAATAGTAATAAGATTTAATAAGATAATATCACAAATTTTCATTAAAACTCAGAATTTCCTTCTTTGTAAAGATCATTGCATTCTTAAATATCAATAAGGTTTTGTGCTAACTGCTGCCTTTAGGTTAATAAAATTCATTGTGTGGTTAGTAAAAAGATTAAAAAGCAAGAAGATGCAAACAAACTTTGTAATATCTTAGTTAATGTTCTGTAGGTGCTTAAAATTTTGAATTTCACAGCATAAATATTTTCTTAGAAACGCCTAGATTTGGTGTCCAGATGACACTAGATGTATATTGATGTATATCTAGATTTATATTGTATTTTATTAAATAAAGGTAAAAAAAAAGATTAGATTTGTCAGCTGGATGTCTTAGGAACGAATCCTAATGCCTTAGGATTCAACAAAATCCTAAGAATGCCTTAGGATTTTGTTGAATCCTAGCTCACATTACTTTTGAAGTGTAATGTGGTTCAGTGGTTCGAGACACGTGCTTGGGAGTACCAAGTGTGCAGGTTCGAATCCTACTCATGCCTCCTATTGATTTTCTCATTGAAACATCATGGTAATATTATTTCTTCGTGCAACTGATCAATTATTTAATGTTTTATTTGTTTATCGATCAGAAAATTCTCACCAAATTGATTCAGAGAAGTCTTTCTCAATAAAAAATTGTACAAGTATCTTCAATAGAAACATTATTGAATCCTCTTTAATACAAATTACAAAGCCATACAATATGAACATTAGTAATGGATTGTAGAATATGAACCCATTTATAATTAGGTGAAGGGACGACGACGTTTCGGTCCGTCCTGGACCATTCCCACAAGCGACTTGCTAATTTATTTATTTATTTATTTATTTATTTATTTATTTATTTATTTATTTATTTATTTATTTATTTATTTATTTATTTATATACAAGAAGGTACATTGGGTTAGAGAGAATACATAGCATAGTATTTACAATCTTGTAAACCCACTACTACGCGCAGCGTTTCGGGCAGAATCATCAAGAATAATGATCCAAGACGGACCGAAACATCGTCGATTCATCATCTTCTGGTGTGTGGTTTAGCTTGTGTGTGGGACTCATCGCATGCAAATAAAAAAACGATCTTTGTAAGAAGATTAATACAAGGATATCCCATTTGGGGCTTCAAGGAACTGACATGTATCAGTCATTAGGGATACTTGCTTCCACAATCTCACCTGAATTGATCATTAGGCTTTCTACAGTTCCATTTTTGTTATGTTTACGAACCAATATTACGAAGACATTCTCCTACAACTTCCTGCCTGTATTTTCAGGAGTTGTATTTCACTGATTGTATTTTTTTTCCCGTGAGTTACATATTTATATATATATATATATATTTAGGAATGTGTGTGTTTGGGGAGGGTCGTAGCTTGGAGGAGGAGGAGTTAGGAGGATGAGTTGGCTGCGTGATGGATTTATCGTTTTCATATATGGTTCTGTGAGTACTTACACTCACGATAATGTACCCTATAGATAACGCTGAGTGCTCGACACAGTTGGTGTAGACTGTCAGACTGGCCGGGAGGGGGGAGGGTGTGGGTGTAGACTGTTAGACTGGCAATCCTGACTAACTCCTGAAT